CACCAGCTTGATGAGTGACATGCTACTCAACGACCGACGCACGGCTTGAGCACTGAGACGTGGACCACTGGGAATGTGTCTAGCAATGATCATGTGTACAAGCAAAGATGAAGATATTTGCATTAAAAGCCGAGTCTTCTGTCTAAGTGGTAGAATATGTATAGTCGAGGACGGAGCTGGGTATCACGGGAGTTGTTCTCTTTGCGAAGAAGAAAAGAAAGAAAAAGAAAAAGGTCAAGTGAAACGTCAAACCCCGAATGCCCATCTGCAAAACGCCCTAATATGCATGCAGTCTCTCTCACGGAAGATGATGTCTAGTGCACGAGCGCCATGTCCAAGACACCTGCTCTTGTCCGGAGAGCTCGTCGGCCCTCCCTCCGATCAGGCCGAGTTGGTCGACCGGCGCCAGATCATAAAGGCAGCAAGGCCGGCACATGCAGTTGCTCCGAGCGCGACGTATAGCGGCGTGCGGTCCACGGGCGGCTCTTCGCTTCTGGGGAAGGCGGTGCTAGGATTCGTGGCCGCCTCGGCGAGGGCGATGAAGAGCTCAGAGATGGAGCCCCAGGTCACAGAAACATGGAGCGGAGCGCTCATCATGAGTTCGTGGGTGTACTCATCGGGCTGCTGCTCGCATCGCTGCGTCGTCTTGTCGCGGTCCGCTTTGAGGGCTGTGTAGACGGCGGGAAGCTCGTCGAGATGAGGGTAGCGGCGACGCAGGTCGACAATGTGACTGAATGAATCAGGGTTAGACGAGTCGTATGCGTAACAGACGAGATCGCAAGCGTTGAGCTTGGCCTGGTTCTCGAGGATGGCCGGTTCGAGCTCACCGAGCTCCTCAAGAATCAGGTAGCATTGCTTGCCACCGTGCAGCTCAACGCTGTTGACGGCGCGGCGCGGCTTGATGGAGGGGCGGTAGAGCGGATCGAACGGACGGTTGAGGAACGCATCCAACAGGGAAGATTTGCCAGCGCTAGGCGCACCGAGAACGTAGCACAGAACAACGTTCCGCTCGACGCGGCCAGGGCGCTTTCTCCTCTTACGAGCCTTGGTCACTTTGAGAGCAGCTGTCGTCGTCTCACGAGATGTCGCTGGTTCGAATCCCAGATGTGCGAGGTACTCCAGGGTCGTTTTCGGTTCCATAAAGGTTGTCATGCTCCACTGAGCCAACCAGCCTTGCAGGGTAACGTAGCCGGCCTCATTGCGAACAGTCGAGGAGGGGAAGGACGTCTCCTGCCAGGACTGAGGAAGCCCCGGCGTTGGCGCGAACAAAGCCTCCAGCTCGTCGTCGCTCAGACCACCATCGTTGTCCTTGTCGAAAAGCAAGAAGAGGTCGACGAAAAAGCGGTAGCCAGCAGGGCTGAGCTCGGCAGACGAGTATTCGGGCACTTCGAACTTGGGGTGGAGGAAGCTGTCTTCCAAGCTCAAACTGTCGGTGTAGTTGAACTTGCGCAGAATGATCCAGATAGTCTCGTGGCGACCTTTTTCAGCGTAGAGCTTGTTCAGTTGTAGGAATCCCATTTTGTCGATGCCCTTCTCAGGACTGGTCTCTGGGGCTGCTTTCGACACTGACTGCTTGATGTTGTCGAGGTCTTCCGAAGTCAGCGGTTTATCGAAGCAGCGAGACTGGAAGTCGTGCATCTCTTGGTCGTTCAGGAAGCCGTCTTGGTCCTTGTCGCACAGATAGAACACCCGCTTCAGAGCGTCTACACAAGCCGGTTTGAGGTTCCCCTCCTTGTAGTCGAAAAGAGGGGCGATGGGGTGGGTGACGGCCTTCTGACACAGGAAGAAAACTTCGTTCACATTGCGGTGTTCCCTCGCGCTCGACCGAATACACGAGTCGATCTCGCGAAACTCGGCCATGACGGGTAGCATCTCGCCATCCACGACTTGCGGCGTGTTAACGTCACCGGTCAGGTCGGACTTGTTGGCACAGAGGACGACGGGCACGTTGACGCCAAGGGACCGAAAGTACGGCATCCAAAAGAGCGCGACGCGTTCATAGCTGTAGTGGTCGGAGTAGACGAGGAGTATGACGTTCGACTTCCGGATCTCCTTGCGTAGCGTGGTTCGATCTTGCGGTCGGGCAGAGGTGTCGACAATGGACGTGGTGACATTGTCAGGTGTGCCGAGTTGAGGCGGTATGGTGATCGGGGGCAGGACGGCTTGAATCTTGTTCTGGATGAAGACATCCTTCACGAGAGAAGCTATGAGGCTGGACTTGCCGGTGCCTTCGTCACCACAGACACAGATGCGCACTGTCGATGCCGAGATGCGTTAGTGGATGGAGGCTGCTCTGCGTCCAGGTGATCAGGCCACATACCAGAAGCCATGATGGGCGGTAGCAAGGAGGGCTCAAGAGGACTTTACTGCATGGCCATGGCCAGGTGTTCTGATGGTCTTGTATGTCCAAGAGGATGAGGAGCAAGGCTATTGCACCTGTTGGCGTTGGACAGGTAGCCCAAGAATGAAGTGTTAGACGCGGACCCGCGACCGACCGGGAGGGAGCTCGAGTGGAGGTGACAGGGTAGAGATCGGGCGTGGTGCCGATTGCTGGGGATAGAGCGTTGGGTTCGTTAGGTAAGCCTACAAACGGGTGGGGCACTATGTGGTTCCACTTACTATTGGTGTCGCGGCGTATTTTGAGGCAGGATGGTATTGTGTTCCTGAGGGGACTTGACTGGAGAACAGGAACAGCTCAAGTCAACACGCTTGGAAAATTCTCGCTGATTCATGTTCCACTATGTATACTGATAACTTGCATCTAGTGTTCTTAGCGCGTCACCATCGGTCAGGCTTGCTGCGCGGCATCGGTCAGAACCAGAGGACATTTGTCACACAACGTCCCTCTATCTGATGTTTGATCCCCCGCCTGCAGAGCCGATCAAGCCATGGCAGTGTTCATAAAATTGCAAGATGCGGATTTTCAACGTGATTCAAGCTGCACGCGTCAGGTATGATCGTCGTGCGGCATGGCTTGCTGGATGGCTGTGGCTTGGTGGACGGACCAGGTTCTTGAGTGAAAGACGGAAGAGAACAGGCCGTGGTTCGCAATACTAAGAGGCTCGTGTGATCTGACACTCATGGCGGAGAGAACTCTGGAACGAAACAGGCGATTCGTGGCATGAATGCTACTTGGTGATGCAATGTCGTCGCGTGGAGATGGAGAGCAGTCATACGTTATGATCTCGTGGGGGTGTTCGAGCAAGTAGGCGAACTGGCAAGAGTTTGTTTGCTCCATCCAAGTGAAGGTCAAAGGCGAAGGCGCCATCTTGTCACTTCCTCGGAGCTATATCCCTTCGTAGAGCCGAAGAGATGGCTTTTTGATATAGTAGGACAGATCCAAGTCTGACTGACAATCATTTCTCACAACGTCACAAAGGTGGATGACCAGACAGGCCCTTCGTCACACATGTAGGTAAGCGAACACGCAGGTAGAGAGGGTCGGGCCAGGTTACCGCCTCCAGCGCATCCTGCACAGCGGATAATCTTGCTGTGCCACGAGGGGACAGACGCCAGTGGGGCGACGCCGTGGTTGGTGCGAATCGTCAGGTCATTCAATCGAGAGGTAGCCTGCCTGGGCAAATGCGGATTTGGGTTCGAGGGAAACTATGGTCGAGATGCTTCGGCCAAGACGCACAATAAGAATTTTGTACATCGTTGCAAGACCCTCAAAAGCCCGTTCTTTGATTCTGATTTCTACGAAAAACGACAGCCAACCCGCATCCTTAAGATCATCGCTACCCCACAAACCACGACCCCCCCCCAAACAAGGCCCCTCCCATTACCACCACCAACACCACCACCACCACCACCACAGCTCCCAACCCGGCTGTCAGGCACCTGGACCCGGTCAATGCAGGCATCCTCCCACCAGTCAGGGCCTGCGCTAGCCTCGACCCCAGGTTTGCCCTTGGCCGCGGCGCAGTTCTACTGGATTCGCCTGACGAGGGGACAGACCGGACAGGACAGGCTCTAGAGGTCAATCCATGTCCAGGCCCAAGGTCTAGGTCCACGTCGAGGTCCACGTACAAAGCCAACCGCCTCTCTTCATACTTGGCCTATATTAACCCAACATCTCCACCGACCTCGTCTTCGTCGTCTGCGACCACCGCCTCTACGATCCTCCCGACACACCTACAACCTGCGTGCTCCAGGGCTCTCCAACTTCTGCAGCGAGCAACGCCGCCCACTCGACCTATCAACCCCCGCTATCGACCTTCCCCATTTGATCGCCTCGCCGATTGCGCTGCTCTGTCGCCCCAGCGGTTCTCCCCCCCTGGCAGTGTCGACTCCCAAGCGCTGCGCGATCCCACCGTCTGTCTCGTCGCACACATCGTGGTCGGCAGGCATTGACGAAGCACGACATATCCACTCGGCACAATCCACATTCGCCATCAGTCGCTCAAAGTGCGCCACCTGCGTCTTTTCTGCTGTGTTGCGACAGCGAATGCAATAGTTACCGCAGTCGAAAGCCGAACGCCTCTTAAAGAGACACGCCCCTCTCTTCTGTCCGCTCACGATGTTGTTAGTCTTTCCTCGTCGGCGGCGTCCCTTTTGGTGCGGGAGGGATTGACAGGGTGACTAACCTCACTACGTATTTATTAAAGCAGCGTTCTTCCTCCTCCCCCACGTATCCCCAGGCGGGCGCCTACGTCGGCCTGGGCGTCCCGGAGCATGCCCATGATCGAGACCACAATACCGTCACCAGAGCGGATAGCTCCCTGATAATCAGTCCTTCGTCGGCAAGGGTGATGTGGTGACTGCTGTCTTAGGAACGGAAATCGCGAACCCGCTGAACTGAT